TGAAAGTTTGAGGATAATTTTGGTACTTTTTAAAGCTGAGGGACAATTTTGGTACCAAAGTGACAAGTTAAGGGACCAAAATGGTACTTAAACCTAAAAAAATTTGATTTTAGCATAATCAATTATACACAATTATTATTTAATTAATTTAATGACCTTTTTAATATAGTTTTTAATTATTATTGTGCTTATTTACTATAATTACAATTAAGAATATAGATATTACAATAAAAGAAAAAGAAAAAAACTCAAAAAAAATTAACATTTGTCAAAGGAATCCAACATAATTACAAAAATAAGTCAAATTGACAATAGCATATAAATTAAAGTATGCAAATAAATTAACTAAATATATAAAAATAAAGATTTAAGGAAAAATATTAAATGAAAATGAAAAATTACCTCCAAAATATTGTTCCATATTGTTCACCAACTTAAAAGACCTTCAAAATGAAAAATCAAAGTATTAGTATACAATTAAAACAACCAACAATATAACAAACATAAAAAATAAAGATAATTTTACATAATAAAACAATTGAAAAAATGAAAATAAAACAGGTGGTAAAAAAGGAATTAACATTAGTTTCGATATGTGAAGATATGTATAAAACTTAAAGAGAAATAAAAGTTGTGATGAACAACAAAAATAAAAAGAAAGATGAAGAGATGAGGAAGTAATTAATGATAATCTGGAAAGAATTATTGAAAGTTAAAAGAATAAGGGGTAAAGAAAAGGGTTGAAGTTGGAAAGAGTAGAAAGAAACGAAAGAGAGGTTGCAGAGGTTGGAGAAGTGATTAGAATAGTCTGGGTTGATGTATATATAGTCTGAATATTATTTCGGTCAATATCATTGACTGAAATAAAGAGGAAAAAATTTAAACATTTTTGCTTTCAAAATTTGGGGGGAAGCGAGAGTTGGAAAATTAATTCGATCAATAATTATGACCGAATTAATTGTAGCAAAAAATTCAAAAAAGTTTCCTAGAACCAGCGGCAATTCAAGGCTTTTATTTCGGTCAAGGTAAATGTCCGAAATAACTGGCCTCTATTTCGATCATAACTAGTGACTGAATTAAAAGTCGCCTTTTTTTTTTTTGGGTTCAATTTTAACCAATTATTTGGTCAAATATGCTGACCGAATTTAGTAATCATAATGAATAATATAATTCAATAATATTTAGGTCAAAATGACTAACCGAAATATGTTGATATTGCTCCTGCAAAATGTGATGCCTCAATCAATTAATCTGTATATTGCTGTATTTCTAACCTTTTAGATTTCGTATTTTTTACTTTCTTTACTTCTAATTTTTTTAATTTAATACATTATAATTAAAAATTATACTAATTAAACTATTTGTTACTATATATTAGAACATTTAATTGAAAATTTAACCTACCAATTAAACAATTA